CTTCAACACAATAAAACTTTCAAAAACAATAACTGCTCATTAAGACTAATAAGCCCAAAAATGGTACATATGCTGTAATTTTCTGAGGAGTTGGCTATCCCGCAGACTTCTTGATGCAGCAGCATGATCCAGGTTACCATGTCGTGGAAATACCATCAAAGTAACTATATACCCAATTTGAGATCAATCGGACCTGTGGATTTTAGTGAGATCTCTTCATCTATTTGCGAATACCTGTGAATAGCTTCGTTGTTACCTTATTGTAATGTTTTACCTTGCGTTATTTGTGCTGTTGGTATTCCGAACACAATAAAATAAAATAAAATTATCAACTAGTGAGCTGATAATCTTCAAAATTTATAGTTAAGAACCACCTCGATCACATCGCCTTTCGAGCAAAAAATCCGCAACGAAATTGGTCCATCCGTTAGGAAGCTATGATGACACAGACAAACAAACAGATACACAGATGCGCAGATACACAGGTTAAACTTATAACACCCCTCGTTTTCCGTCGGGGGTTAAAAATGAAGTTGCTTTTTGTTCTTGTACGATCTTTAAAACTATATAACGGATTTTAACTCGGTCTTCACCAATAGAGAGAGTGATTCAAGAGGCGGGTTTAGTTGTAGATAAAATAAATGCATATTATAGTAGAGAATTTGTAATTTAAAGTCGTAAAAAACATGTTTTAGTGCGCTTACATTTCAAAACAATGGCTAAACCTTACGAGCTAGATCAAAATAATTGAAATTGTTTATTTTTATCTTTTACAAATTAAAAAAAAATGAAAAAATTGAAGATTTCCGTTGTCTGTCTCCGAAACTCATCATCAGATCCATATGAAATTTGAATGGGATCATTTCGGAATAAACACCTTTTCAACAAAAAAGAATTTCGCAAAAATCCATCTATATATGACGAAATTATGCCCGAATATACATAAAAAAATATAAACATCCGAATTGAAAACCTCCTTTTTGAAGTCGATTAACAAAAAGAAATTCCATTAAAATAAAATATTAGATTCTTACCATACACATAAAATTCGCATAATAAAACTAATAAGTTAGTAGTTTATATAATAATTATAATGATTTATTTCAGAAAATGTTCCATATCATGATAGTAATAATAATTTAGTATATAATGTTCGAATAAAATATAATTACTATTCCAAATTAGGTAGTAAATAGGCTTTAAATAACATAATCTTTACTGCGTACGTACATCATGCAAACCCTCAAGCCAGCATGTTACAGCGGACAGCCACCGACCTGCGTTTCTTGTTAATGTCTAAGTTGTCACTTTAATCTTCAGTGACCCAGTGGCTCAACTACTTGAACTTATTAACCCTAAATAGAGGTACTTCAGGTATGGTTGTATAGCTCTTGTTACTTGATTTAAAAACGAATAGCTCAATCTTCTTCACATTGTAAGTACCTGAGTCCTAAGTATTAAAATAAGATCTATTAATACTAGCTTTTGCCCATGGCTCCTCTCACGGTAAAATGTTGCCTATGTCCTTCCTCAAGAATCCAACTATCTCTATACCAAATTTTGTCTAAATCGTTTTAGCGGTTTGGCCGTGAAGAGGTAACAGACAGACAGACAGACAGACACACTCTCGCATTTATAATATTAGTATGGAAAAAACTAAAAAAAGTGATATATACGCACACAATGTAAAAATACATACAGTTATTGCAACGAAATGGTTATAGGTAAAAGACGTAGAAACACAAGATGTTTTTAGTTCTCAATTATCCGCCCAAATGAAATGCAGTAAAGGGTAAATTTTATAAAAAAAATCCGTAGTGATAAAACACTTTATTTTTATACGAATGCATATAAGGTACGCTATAAATTCACCTGTATATTTATATTCACCTATAAATTCAACTGGCTTTCCTAGATTTAATAATTTTAATAAAGTATTTTTTTTTCATTTGCCTATAAACGTGTAAGTATTATTATTTTGACGTCAGTGATCGAAATCAACAAAGTACCGCACTGGCACAATGTTTATGTCCTATGTACAGGTATACACAAAATGATATTTTACAATGTTAAAAAATGAGATTTTTAGGTCTATTTTTTGTCTTTGTGGATGATCAGTACGAGTAGAAAAAATGTTCTACTTTCCTTATTATTTGGTTTTATTATACTTATAATACTCGTAACAAAGATATGCTAGACAATAATCTATCTACAAACCAACATTCAATTAGTGTTCACGCTTTGAGGAAGTTATTTTTTTCTACATTAAAAAGTTTAAGGCTTTGTTTTTGATAACCGATTCGAAAAAGACGGTTTATAAAGAGTAACTTGGTGTTTTAAAACGTAACTATTTTAAATATTGCAATTGAGATTTATTTCTTAGTTAATAATTTATAAAGATGTTATTCGAATCTAAAAAATAAGGGCTTTTTACTAAAATACATGCAATCCGTCATGTTTTACTAATTTTTGCTAAAAGGTTGTCGGCGATTTCTTTTTTTCTGGTTGCAAATTGATGATACCGTGTATAACAGGCTCATAACTTTATGGTAGGTACATATGCTTTTAAATCCAAACAGATTAAACCATACAACATCTGTGGTATCTCAATTTTTTTGAAAGAAATAGTTTTGCCACTGCGCGGAATTACCTAAGAGGTCCACTAGAGCACGGGCATAGTTTCTAACGAAACCGTTCACTTCAACCAGACTAAGACGTCTTTGAAGTGTTATTTGGATGGTGTGCGGCTGTTCCTGTTACCAAAATAGCCTAAAATTCGGGTTCATTGTGGATGTCAACAGCCGATGTCAACAGTATTTGGAACTGAATAAGTGAGGTAAAAAAAAAAACAATATAAGAAAAATCTTTGGTACTCATTTCTATTGAAACTAAGAAAACTATCAAAATGGCTACAGGCTAGGCCTTTAACATTCGAGCCTATGAATACCGAAATCAATAGTGTATGACAGAGAAAACAACCTATGAGTAAAATCCATAAAAATGCTGTCACTTAGCTAAATAATTACATTGAATGAGGCGATATAACGAGCGCGGTCACATCACCGAGAGAAGTATCACTCTATTATTTATAGACGCGTTCGATACGCAATACAAATTATTGTTTTCAAAGTATAACGTTTAGGGGAGCGCGTTGTTTGCAGAACGACCCTCTGGGACTCCCTTCGGGCTAGTGTGGCTCAACGAATTTTAACATTTACCAGTGTAGCTTTAAGTGTTATTTTGAGCGACAATCCCTGAAACCGAATACTTTTTTGTTTCGCGTAGACATTGTAGTACTATTAAAGCAATCTTTTGACAATTGAATTTCGATTCGAGTGGCGCGTATTGTGCAGATACGTCGTTACGGCTCAGGCATATAGCATGGGTGTTTGCGTGCGGTAATTGATACGAAATGACAGACACGAGGGGATACTCTTTCAGCCTCCGGCCGTGGAGAGGAGTAATGTTTTGACATCAACCGAAAAGAGATGGGTGTGATTTGAAGTGCCCTTTGTGGAATTATAGTCGCGGATGGCGTCTTTAATATTGACTAATGCATTTCGCTGCTAATGGCGAAATGGAAAACGACAGGTGCGAGGGCTTAAGGGACGCTTAGGATTTAAAAATACAAGAAATTCATTTCGACATTTAGCACTGTTCTTTGAATACACGCGTAAAATTGACAGTTGGATTTTAAAAAGTATCACCGACTTAAATATGTAAAAGTAATAATATATTTTTCATACCTACGCTGTATTTGTTCATCTGTTAACTTGACACCTTTTAAATAATATTGAATGGGACCAATTTTGGACACTAACACTAAAATTATAAAAATAACTATTAAAGACAAATGAGCAAAATATTTTAATTTGTTTATAAGGTGTTTACAAACAGCTACACACTAAAGATTATTACAACGAATTACTTAACCATGACTGAATGTGCACTCACGGCGTAATCTACAGAATCATTAAGTAACGTCATTTTTATAAACATATCAAAATATATATCTCTTGGTAATTAATTTATATAATATCAGGATAATCAGAAAAAAATATCATATATTGTATTGTCATCGGTCCTTGATCAGAATGCGAAGTTTAAATTCAATACGACGTTTTAAAGTGGTTAAAAATCACCTTCAAAGATTCCAAGCTCCAAAAGCGTGTTAAAGAAAATGGACGTAACAGTAAACTATAGTCCTACAATTTCTTAAATAAACTGTAGAACTATTTAATATTGTCGCCCCGCAAAATTTATTAACACATTAATGTAATCGATACAACTTACTACTTACCCAGTGTATGCAAATTAAATCGACATTAAAGTATCAAGGGCGGATCAGGCGGCCCATTAATAAATCAGTTCGCTAAAACCGTAATTGTAATCTCAAACAAGGCAGAGGGAGCACGGTGTTTGTTCTAACAACATTATTACAATAAGTTTGGGCTTGGTTCGCCGCCACCGCACCGCTTGGCGATTCGCCTGGCGCGGCGGAGCTCGCTTCGCGGCCGCGAGCCCCCATCCGGTCGGTTCACACGATGTAATCGTAAGCTGTGTATACTTACCCATATATTATTTAACATTATTCAAATATTTTAAGTAAAGATATTTTTCCTTCTTTTTTCAAATGTACAGAATTATAAGGAGGTACGCCACGAATGCTTAGGTTTTTTTCTTGCCGTGTTCATATCGTTCACGTTTAGACAGGAGAACTGAAGTAACGTAGGTGTAGGATTGATCGTATTTAGGGTAGACGTGTCTCTGTAGCAATGCTTTGGTGACGGGGATGCGGACCAATCTTCCATGTATAAAGTCATGTCAAGTGGTGACAAAAAAGAACATTTACCTTTTACTGTTAAGGCTGAACAATGTCTATATAAGACGATAATCTTAACCAAGCAAAGAGATCCTCACATGGTTTAAAGCCTAATACACATTTCTGAACGTCTGTTGGTAGTAAATTCTAATCTTGGCATTACTCGTTGATTTTGGTCATGCTCGACAGTGTTAAGGGTGTACGGCTAGACGGGCGTCGCCGCGTCGAGGCGTACCGCGTAGCCGGCGGCTACACGCCCCACTCTATGCAAGCTAACTCATCTGCTTATCTCTCTGTAGTATAACTGTGTATGTGATCGCTTGTGGAGGGAAATAAGTAATATGTTAGTAATATAGAATTATTTTATACTATAGTGCATAAAAATTTGTGTTAGGTAGTGTGTACTACTTAACATTAATTTTCAATGTTTTTAATATTCGTGGGATTATAATGTAGGAGTTTAAACCGTTATCACAGCTTTCTGGTATAGGTACCTACTGCTCAGCGTTTTCAAAGCTTGGAAGCAGCGGCGCGTCATAAAATATATAGGGTATCAGTGTTATAAAATGGAAAAATTGTGTAAAGCTGGCCGAAGGTATTAAACATATTTTATATTCTTTTTTTACAGTTTTGCCGCCTTTTGAATATTTGAAACATATAAATTTTATAACTTGACACATCTCACACACGGTCATGCTATTGTAATCAGATTGCTCATAAACATACTTATATAAAAATATTTCTAAATACGCACATATTACAAATGAATTACACCCAGACATAGAATAAATCATTCATTAGAATTTCTCCCCTGAAGAATCACTAAGGACTGAACCAACGGGCCAGTCGACTAAGCAACTGTCTGTGAAGTTCTAGGCTTTCGGAACAGAAAAGGAAAGAGCCGTTCAAACGCCAAGAATATCGAACTTTGTTATATGACACTTTCAGTCACGTGTTAATTGTTGTCTTGTGTAGATAGGGATACCGCAGTGTCGTTTGATTATCAGACTTTGAAAAAAAATGTTGTTGTGTCCATTGTTTATTAAATTTCTTCAAAAAATTAATTGAAGCATTGGTAGAGATTTAGTTACAAAAGCATTATTGCCCATTAGTTCCAGCTGAGGATAAGGACCGATGTGTTTTTGAAGCAATTCTATTAATTATCTAACTTTCTATTTGGTCGATTAAATTATAAAAAGATATTCTATGTTACTTATATTCTAGTAGTTATAATATGTACCTAAAGCTCTTAATACTTTGACGATTAGTTGAGATCATTCTCCAGCATAGTGTTTATTAATGGCGAAATGAACATGAATACCACTGCGCAATTATGCATGCACGATACCTACTGGTGCGCTGCAGCCTTACGTACAATAGCATTTGGGTATTCTCCATGCTCTCAATGGCATTAAAACAATGGGGAATATTGTAATTTATAATGTAAAGCTATGCCTACAGACTTGAGAGTTTCAACTTCGTCTAACCAAGTTAATCTATTTTTGCTAGATATTGTACCTATAGGAAAATTTTGAATAATGAGATACAAAAAATAAAGACTTACGAGTATAAGGTTAATATGGACACTTTGAAAACTACATAGAGCATTAAGTTTTTAGTCGTAACTTTAGGTACTATTACAAAAAAAACTGTTCTAACTGTGTCAGCAAGTAAAGTAAAGAAACAAGTAATAATGAAGAGATTACGTACAAATTAAGTAAGACCCCATGGTTTCCCAGTAATAAACGGATGGCTTACGGCGACTGCGTAAATTGTAAATATTTTTTTTCTAAATTTTTGACTAAATTTTTTCTAGCTAGTACTAGTACTACTACTAATACTACTACTATTTTGAAGGTAATATTGAATAACCAAGTGTAGTCTTGAAAATCAGAAATGACACGTGGGAGTGATCATATGAAAGGTTTTAAGTGGCTTTTTTTTCTGAAAAGCTTATAGTGCTGCTTTTAGAACAAAAGTCCATTATTACGAGTATTACGTAGGCAGTAGTGACACCGTTAGGTATTATAAGCTTGGAAAGTCACAGAAAATTTGTGTAAATTTCACATATTATTATAAAAATTTACAGAACAGTATGTTAGTTTATTACTAGACGTTGTACATCTTTGTACCTATTGTTTTCTAAGGACTTTGTTATTTGTATGAAAGCTTTAAAGTTTAATATTTCGCAAACGAATCACTGTTCCGAAAAATAGTCTGTACACACCTCAATGTTTTTGAAAGACCCGTCCAACCACACCTCACTCTATAGGATATACATATTGCGTATAATCAGTCAGTTTCCACAAATAGCAGAATGATTAATACGCATATACCAACCCCCATGCAAAATTGCAGCTTCCTAGAGCTAAAAGACCCTAAGCTAAGTTGTAGTCGGATGGACGGACAGTGCAACACTATAAGGTATTCTCGTCAGGACCACGTATTCTTAAGAAAGGTATATATTTAGTTGTAAAATTATCATTCCGCATGAGTATTCTCTGAGAGAGTCAATAGACGGTAATGTTTATATGTATTATTAAGAAAAGGGTTAACGAAGTCACTTTTGAATGGGTATAGGACGAGGGTGCTATTATTATAGAAAATGAAGTCATCGACTGCAATGAAAACAGCAAACGAGTTAAACCAAACACAATCAGTAGTACACAAAAGAACATCGGGCTAATCTCATTGTAGGCGAGGAATGACAAAGTAGTCGGGTGCGAAAAGCGGCTGTAAGGAGTCGCCCGGGAGTCTGGCGGTGGCAGCGGCCATATTTGCCGCTCGAGTGGCGCTCTATGGGCGGCGGGGGTGCGGGCGGATGCCGAACGCGAAAACCCCGTCACTCTTTCATCGAAAGTTAATGGGACTTTTGTCGGGACGACGACCGACTCTTGTAATGCAATTAACTTCGACAATGGTGCTATCGTTAACGAATTCATTTTAAGCGTTCCTACTGAATTGGCTTATAAAGTTCCCTTTTTAAATGATGATTTTTTAGGGTATTTTAGACCATTTTCGTAGATACCTACGTAATACACGTAGAGAAAATAAACCTTTTCTGTTTCATTATTAAAATCACTCTTCCTACTAGTTGATTAGAATACCTAGGTCCTCGGTAATAATAAGCAATGATGTACATTTTGTACCTTTAATAATTTAATATAATTAGAAGGTACCTAGAGACACCATATTCCAAGTATTTCAATTTATAAACAACATTATTTAAGAAATAAATCTGGACAAGTGCTACCGAGGGTTCCGTACAAATTTGTAGCATATTATACTTAGTTCCATTTTTTCCTAATGAGGTACAGAACACTATAAATGCTAAAGTAACTTCAAAACTGCTACTAGGTATAATGAATATTTATATACATCTTTTGTGAATCTTAGCCAAATAACTGAGCTCTATAAATCTTTTTCTCCTTTTTGTAAAACAAAATGTATGCAATTGGCTTGTTTATACTCTGTCTGTTCGTCTATTTCTTTATTGATTACTTGATAAGCAGTCAATTAGTGATAATAATTAAAACTAGTTTGATTAAAAGTTACAATCGTATCAAACCTAGGTATGTTACCCATGCCATGTTTAATAATTAAGCAAAACAATTATTTATTTACATTACAAAGGACTTAAGATAAAACTAATGTCTGTAATCTTTTGTTTGTCCATTGGTCTAAGTTATTTATTGCAAAAAATATAGTTAAAGAATTTCTTTTTACAATATATACCTTCTTGCGTATTTAAATGTTAAACAATGACGAGCTTGACACAGGTCCGGTCGTCCTTATTAAAAAACGAATATGTTTTACGTTCTGATACAATATCAATGTTGTCAGACATATTTGTATCAAAAGATTACAGATGAATTGATATGTATTTAAAAGATTCGGCAAAGAGACCGCCCTGTTCCACCAACGTGCTCTGTTGTGACGGCGAGGTGCTACAATGGTTCAATCGTCGACCACCCGCAGTCCGGGAATATCTCCGCACTTGTGTCCGACCACTCAAGTGGAAGCGTTCGGCCGCCGACCCTATACCAACCCCGAAATATCAATGACTGCCAAAGACAACAATAGTCCTTTCTGACGTTTTTTTTATCATATGAATGGTCCAGTAGCTCGGTCAATGTTTGCTACAAAACTGGGTCGTTTCAATGGTCCGTAGATAACGCGGTGTATTACAATAAATTGATCGTTTACAAGGTTTTGTATTACTCAAATTGACTACTGAATCGTCTAATTTTTTGTCATATATATTATCCCAAAGATTTTGGGTTTTGTGATCAGCTTATAAATATGAATGATTTTTATAAGGCATCTGACTTGTTATAGATAGGTATACGAGATACATAGACTAAAAAAAAAGTTAAAATATTAAGATTTTGGGGTTGTTTTTTAAGTAATTTATCGGCAAATCTTAAATAGAAATGTCATTCTATTTTGCTATTTGTCGTATAAAAGATCGTTATATTTATGATGTTAAAAGTACACTACTGAGATCTAATATTTTAATATAACGATTTACGTAATAAAATGTTGCAAAACGTGGAAAATGTATTCCTTTTGAGAGACGCAGATGCAGTTAAAGATATGGAGCTATCAATTTGTGTATTTCGGAAGTTTAGGGCGGGGTCATCAAGGAGTGACCTACTCCGTCTGCCTCAGATGTACGATACATAATCGTACATCTACTACCTTATTGTGTAACTCATAGAGAGATTTTTCCACTATTTTTTTATTTTTTCAAAGGTGTGGTTCAAGAATCGTCGTGCGAAATGGCGTAAACAGAAACGAGAAGAACAGGAACGGCTACGCAAGCTGCAAGAAGAGCGAGCGTGTGGGCGCGCGTCTCTACTGGCTCGCCCCGTGCTCTCGCCTGCGCACTCGCCGCCTGGCCTAGCGACGCCCGCGCCCCCTACGCCACGAGTTTACTCCGAGGACTCCGACTCAGACCTAGAGGTTGCCTGAACAATTCCCGTGATAAAAAGTGAACTATAAAAACTCTTTTATAAAATATACCTAACTCGGTATACATTGAAATTCTAGTAAGATGAAAGTACCGAAGTGATTCTGTGTCAGTGACATTCATGAAATCCGTGCGAGAACGCTAAAATTGGTACGTGTTCGTGGTGTTGTTAAAATGCTTGAATTTTCTTAACTGGTGGAAATCAAAATTGTAAAAATAAAACCATTAGTCGGCAATCCCTGAAACTTTTGCTGTTTGTTAACTCTCGCGAATAACAATATATTGATCGTTAATTGTTACTACTGCGATTAACAATTAAATAAATATATGTAATTATACATAAATGTAAAATATATGTATATTTACACATATTTGTATATCTATATGTTTGTCAAATGTCAGGATTAGGACCGATTAATTATTAAGTTGGAATGGAAAATTGGAAATGAAATTAATTTTGCAATTAATCACGTTTAATCTAAATATTTTATTTGTATGTAACTGTGATTAATATAAATCCCAATTGAGTTAATTGCAATTTTTTTTAATAATTTGACGCTTAAATTGATTTTTTTTAACAAACTGCCGACTTTGCTCTAGTATAGAAGGTAGTTGAACTCAAGGACACAGGTAATAAATAATATTTAAATAAACTTATTTGCCTATATCCAGCGAAATCCTAACTTATCGTGTAATAAGAATACACAGCATTTAGAGTTATACCTACATATATCTACTAAATATAATGTACGTATCGATGTAGTTTACTTAATGGCGCTTAGTGATACCCTATTATAAAGAAACCTGTATTTAAATTCCTTAGATTTTATTATTAACAATATTAATGTTAAACCCTTATTCTAGGCGAAGGTTTAAACGTAACATCAAAAAATTATTGGTAGGTATTACTGGAAATTTGTTTTGAAGTAAATTAGATAAAGTGATCATTCTGCTCAGTAAACATTTTGTATCTAGACTACTATAACATAGCAACATGTAGGTAAAATAGCTTGAATATTCAATATCTGTTTACTTATAAAATGTTAGAAAAATTTAGACTAGTCAGCAACAAAATATGTTTAATCATAATAATTAAATTAATTCTACGAGCTTCTAGACGGCATGTACTTACCTATGACAGTAAATACCAGACAAGTTTTTTCCATTTTTAATAAAACATTCATTGGCATTTGTTGCGGTGCCTACTAACTTATTCTAGAACTATTTCTGCCTATGTTCTATATGTAAATATACAAATTAGCTGTATGTATCTAAATAGGTAGGTACTATTATCATGTACGAACTTACACTTTTATCGGTGTTGATATTTACACGTATCACACGTGTATTATGCAATAGTTACATAATGTGCGGATTATATAGACAATATGAGTCTCAAATTACATAATATGCCTAATCCCAAAATGTACTTTTAATTTAAATGTATCCTTGCTAAAAACCTACTGAGGTCCTTGAACTCCGGTAACTTATTTCAAGAACTTGTACTTGAAACCAGAAACTGATGAAAATGGATTTCTACATTTAGGTATAATTGTGACAAATATTGATTTATAGTAACCTCACATATTTACAGCTTTATTTATGGTTAAACAATATAGCAATACTAAAGTCAAGTTTTTTTTCAACATTTAGTCAATCATCGTTACACCATTAAAGTTAAATTATCAAAAACCTTTAAATCAAGCCTCTCCCTACTTACTTTAAATTCTTTACTAGAATGAATATGAATAATATTTCTCAAGCGATTTTGTGTGAGTGTCTTATTCTTATTATATAATTTTAAACTGAAGATAAAAAATATTTTGTAAAATTGATAATTAATTTTCATAGCCAACCAGACTAATTTTTTTACGCGTATAACTGCAAAGATCATGTAACGTAGTGTAGATACTGTGTGTACCTACATACTACGAGAACTGACTCGACCTCTTAATGGCACTACTTTCGTATAGTAAAGCTAGATAACAGGTAAGTATAATTAATTAACGCTTAAGGTTAAGCGTATCATAGTAAAACTTAGATAACAAGCAAAGATATCGTCAATGGGTTTCCCAATGGCCGATTAGATGTACCATTGTGCTGTCAAAGGATGGAGCTTCCGTTCTAGCATACCAATGAGTATTATGAACTGATGTAATTGTGGCCTTGCACATGCCGCGATTATTCTGTCATTGACTGTGTCATCTTAATCGATAATGAACCCTCATACGTGCTTGTGAACATGGTGATCAAAGACGTGTAAGTATTTATATCCTGTGACGAAATATTTAAGCGGTACGATGTACATTTTCATACATAGATACATTTACTTTGGTTTAAGCCCAAGTTTTCTAGTTGCTACCATAACAAAGGTTTACTTAACAATTTTGAAATTAATAGGGATACAAACAATATAGCACTATTCTTCTTTTCAGTATTGAAGGTGAAACTGGTAGGTAGAAAGGCAATCTACATAGTTCCATTCAGATTACTTAACCCGCATTTAAAGTTTTACTAAGTATGAATGTTATTTTAATTTACTTAGTTATATTTTATTACTTAGTTATTATTTTAATATGTTCAGTAACGATTATATTAATTACGATTAGGATTATATTAATTATCATTACCTATATAAACAGTGTGATATTAAAGTTCGTCAATAGCCAAGAATGAAGGAGGTAAAAAAGTAAGATCTAAGTGGCGTGCAATGGGAGAGGCCTATGTCCAGCAGTGGACTGCGATAGGCTGATGATGATGATGATGATGAAAAAAGTATGAAGAGAAAATAGATGGCAGTGTGATTATTCAGTTTTTCGATCATTCAATTCGTACAGTCGTCGTCGTCAATCCCAAATAATATTAAAACCTATACGAGTATAGACAGATCTTGGAGTTACGTCCAGCTTGCTAACAAACTCGAACTATATATTTTTTTAAACAGATTCGATTATTGGTCATCCACTCATACGTGTTTTTAATGTTTTTAACCGAGTTTCATACCTCGACATCATCATGCCTTCGAAAAATTATACTGAATAGTCGTGGTCTTAGCTTTGCCAAGGTTTGCCAGTGCCGATTACTTAAATTTAATGTCGCTTATGTTATTTCTGAATCAAGTAGCGTTCTTATTGTGAAATTATATTTAAACGGGTTCAGAAGTTTCGGAATGACCGAACAAATCTGTCGTCTTCATAATTTACTAATGGTTTCGAATGGCAAATATATTTCAATTGCTTTCTCATCCTACAGGAACATTAGATACATTTTTTTGGGATAAAAAGACGTCGACTCTGGTTTTCACTAAAGACTTCCATTCCGATCATTGAGCAGCAAATTGGTCCCACCGTGAAGGCTCATTATCGCACTTCTTCATGTCGCGCTAAGAACATCTTAACACCTGGGATGTGTTCTGATGTACTGCCTCATGAGCCAACGGTGTTTATTAATAGCATCCGTCAGTACCCTATCATTCTCATTGAACCAATCCTCATGCTGCCAGGCTCTCAGACCATAAGTAAGTGTAGCGGTGTCGAGAATATGAGAAGATAGTGACTCCCAGAGAGTACTGACACCACCGGATTTTAGATCGAGGGCCAGCAAACCAGTGCTCAAGGTGGCGGCATATTTTGTCCTTGTGTTGATATGTTGGAGTCGTTCAAGGCTCAGACGCTTCTGTTTTGATCTTTATGATCTAAGAGGACAACGAATACGAAGACGTAGTTTCGTGGCAACATGCTGATGATCAGTCCAACAGTAAGCACCTCGCATGACACGATTAACCTGGACTTGGGAAAGGTCTCTTTGACGCACGAAAGCGTAATCGACAAGGTGCCAGTGCTTAGATCTGGGGTGCATCCACGTTGTCTCGTACTTGGCAACCAATCTGAATAGTGTTCGTGATTGCAAGATCTAATTGTGTGCAAAGACTAAACGACATTTGCCCGTTGCTGTTCTTATTACCGACACCGTGTCTGCCTAAAACTTTGGGCCAGGCTTCGTGATCTCGTCCTACCCTGAAGTTAAAGTCGCCCAAGAGTAGGATCTGTTCACTTGGGCGAATACGATCTATGCACCGCGTAAATTCTTCGTATAATTTTTCCTTAATCTCATCAGACTTGTCTAGCGTGGGGGCACAGACACTGATGACATTAAGGTAGTTGTCATGTTCCATGTGAAGGCGAAATGTGGTAATTCAGTCGGAGATGTGTATAGGGCACTCCAGTAGTTGTATTTTAGCAAGGTTATTTTTGATAGCAAAACCTACACCCGACCTTCGCGACTCTGAGAAAGCGAGTCCCTTCCAAAAGAAAGTGTATCTGCCACGGTGTTCTACCAACTCCCCTTCGTCGGGGAGATGTGTTTCGCTGAGTGCAGCCACAGCGATATTATAGCGATGAAGTTCTCGAGCTACAATGGCAGTCTTTCGCACCGGATAAACACTTGCCTCGCGGTCAAGAAGTGTGCGCACATTCCACGCACATCACTGATTTTGGTGTTTTCTGATTACTTTCTTGTGGCGTTGACTGCGAATAGAGATACAGGGACAGCCGCAGTTGCTACCCTCCTTATAGGTTGGAGAAAGCATTTGTTTAGGGCTTATTTTCTAGCCCCCTCCTCCCTGAATAGGGCTACTTTATTACCCTGGGTGCTTTCGACTCCGCTCTTTTACCCCAATGCAGAGCTGAAACGACCCCCAGCGCCGCCTACGTGTAGGAATCAGACAAAGCCCAACGAGCAACGGCACACAAAAAACATGAACACTCGATTACTACATGAACTTCGAAATACGGTTATGGGGACAGAAGTAGTCATGGAGAAAGACTTATCCAATATGCTAATAAATACAACCTAAGAATAATTAACACTAACTTTAAACTAAAGAATACTAACAGATGGACATGGATCTCCCCAGACAGAAATACTAGAAACGAGATTGATTACATCATTGCCACAAAACCCAACTTATTCCCCGAGTATGAGGTAATCTCCTCATTCAACT